TGATCAACTTTTCGAATTCTCAGTGTCCTCCTTGTTCAAGCACCGTCTCAAGATGACATTCTAGAGGGTTCTTTTTGTCATTTTTTGCATTCTTTTATATAATACTTTATATAACTTTATATAATAAAAGCAGAAGCAGGGCCACCCATCTAGTTGTTCTAGGAGCAACCTATACATATTCTTTCTAATCATTTTTCATTTTCTTCTCGTTTTCAATAGCCTCCTGCTATCTGCCAGAATCGCCTTTCAAGTAATATTTTGATTTCTTTCCTCGCATTGTTACGTCAATGAAATATCTTTCGAAGGCGTATTTCGTCGATGTCCGTCTAAGATTTTGCTAAAATCCGTGCAGTTGTTAATGGCCAACCAACATCTCAAAGTCACAGATTCCAGGTATGGCCTTGATCCAGCTTGTGCTAGCTGTTCTTCAACTGGGCTCTTCAGTACTCTCGTTTGATGCCCAGACTCCTTCAGCGCTAAACAGTGTGGAAGAGCCAAAGAAATGTTTCACATGTAGTGTCTTTACGTTTATAGACAATCGACTTTTATGTACGAATCCTGGTACATGCTACTCGGACTATTGCTATAGCTGTAAGTCGAATGTTTCCATAAAAATTCCTTTCTTTTTCGTGGGTGTAACCTCTCGCTTTAGGTCCTAGGAAGTTATTATGTCATTTGAAACACTTGGTGACCACTTTTATTTTACCAAGAAAAGAAAGTGAAAGAGGGCCAAAAAACGTTTTGATAACGGGGGGAACTCCAACCTGGGCGAGCGTAGGGAAAAAAGTTTAGGAAGTCCCACAATAGGGAAACCTGGAAATAACTGAAATGAGGGAAGACGTTGTGGTTTCTTTGGGAGGTGCTGCAGAGTTCTTTCGTATTAAGAGCACTTCTGAGGTGTGAGTCTATGAGTGTAAGCCAGTGTTATCACCTTTTCTACATGTCTAGAAGCAGCACCTCGTAAAGTACAAAAAAAACTTTGATTTAACCAGTACACATGATAGTTGAGACAGAGAAGTTTTTCGTGATAGTTGGTTTTGATTCATTTAGATGTGCTGTCTGATTTGAGGAGTATGTTTCTCTCTGGATGCGCCGAAGACTGGTCAGATTTTGAGTTTAGGTACGTCTGTTTAGACAGAACCTTAAAATCGTTGCAAATAATTTAAGCCTAAATGTCTTTCGACATAAATAAATAATTTATGATATGAAGTAAATAATTTGAGAGTGATGAAAAATGAATTAGATTCAAAACTCAGACCCACTGTCGTCGTTGCCGTTTCTGTACATTTGCTTTTGATCCGGGATTCCAAGGGTCACTTATCACCAAAAGTGGCGAACTGCTCAGTTTTGATTCATCAACTCCGAAAACTCTTATGCTATCAAGAATTGTGAAGGGGCTCTTATGCTATCAAGAATCCTGAGCATTCGAATAAGTTGGCTCAGATTTCATGATGGCAGGAGCAATAAGCTCGGAAAGTTCCTTAATGAATTGGATTCTCTTTTTTTTCATAAATCTTGACTAAGTCTTCCACTAACCTTCAAACAAAGGCAATTTGTAAAATTCTGTTTTCAGGAGAGGAGAAGACGACCGTATTCTGTGTCATGCCCACGGACACTTTGGTCTGTGTCTTTGCCGTGCAGGTGGCGAATCTCCATGCAATAAGCGCTACACCAACGACACCGAACTGCAATGGATTAACTCCGATCTCATCATTATGAACTCAGTATCTCATGTAAGTCTTGATTAATGCGTGTTCCGGTACTGGTATTCCTAAAAATGGAAACTGTCCAATGGGGGAAAACCCTTGTGGAATCATAGAATATTCAAAGAATTCCTAATTCAAAGGAACCTAAATGGACAATCAAATCCTGACCCTCCAACTATAGTATGTTCACAAGCATAAGCAGTCCGATCGATACGCATCAATTCAATGAGTTTCAGAAGGTGACCGGTTTCACTGCCGACTACGCCCGCAATCGTGTTTTACAGATGCGAGTTGAGGGTTTTCCAGAGAAATTCCCAGGTTCACCTCTAAACACTGCACGATTTTCTCTCACCTCCCTCCCAATTATCCTTAGTTTCGTGATCTTTTCTTTTCTACAATAATCTTCCATTATCATGTCTTACTGCTGAAATTTAAAAGCTGACCTTCTAGTCTTTCTTTTTCAAATTCATTCTTGTTTAAAGTTAACTCCGAGTCGTTTACTCGAGAAATGCTCGAGCAGGTTACTCGAAGCATCTCCTGTAACTTAGTCTTGTCTGTTATCATGAGAAATTTTATATGATTATTTGCTAACGGGTGTGTGTCAACGATTTTCGGTTGATTCCTATCAGTAGGCTTAGTTCTGAATTATTGGAAACTTTTGTTGGTGTCTGTGTAATAAAGAGTTTTTGAGTGAATTTTCCGAGAATTTCACTCAAGTTTGTTATGTCTTGGAGGCAGTATCCACGAAAAGCTGACCAACATTTGTCGTGTTGTCTGCGCTCTCTCATATGGATGTAGATCCCATGTCGGCTTCCAGGCTTGGAGCTAAGAGCATATTCAAAGGGCACATACATGAACATAGCGGTGTCCTCAATGACTCTCTTAAGATCGCTTTCCATTGTCACAAGTAATTACTCTTTTATGGAAATATGACCGTTTGTCTTGTCTCTAATCCACTTTTTGGGAGGTGCTCTGCTATGCTCTCTGGATACCGTGGAGTATTAATTAGACAATAAAGCAGCTAAATTTTGAAAAAAAAGCCCAGGTTCACAGTGGACTGTGGATGAAGAGGTGGCTGCGATACAGCGCTTAAATCTTCCCAGACAAGTCTGGTACCACTTAACCGGTCGCGTGGGGATGGAAGGCTTGGTTGGCCTAACAGTAAGACGAACTGGGATTCGAACATGTGACCATGCGTGTGCAATAGTGCACCACTTGTCGACAGCTTGCCCAGTTACAAGCCAGTGCCCCTACCCTCTCGGAGCGATATGGAAGGCTTGAATGGTCGGGCAGATATAGATCCGTGATTCGAACACTAAACCACTCTTGTGTGTTAATGCGCCACTTGCCGCTGCATCACTAAACATAACATGATTCAAATAAATTATCGCTCCTTGCAGGTTGATTGATGAACGCAAATAAATAAATGAATAAATGTTGTTTGGACAACATGGGTCCAAGTATGAGTCATATACGAGCAGGCGACTTATACATTAGTCAACTCTTTCGGGTCAACATTTGCACAGCGAATGAACAGTCTTTTTTCTGATGGTTCTATATGTAGGTTTGCGTAGTAGAAACTGTTTTGATGTGTCAGTTTTGACACTCAAAAAGGTAATGGAAACAGCTGGATCGAGACGAAACCCAAAAAGCTTTTAAATCTAGGTTGAGACCCGAATTAGAAGTCAGGTTGTCAAGATATGAAGGCAGCGAACCTTATTCTGCCCTTACCATGCAAATGTCTTGAACTAAGCTTTTGAACTTAGATCTGTTCCGATGCCAACACACTCTTTCTCTCGTCTACTTGCCTTCACTCTTTCTCGTAACCTCACCCGTCCCCCTCCCCCTCTCCTAATCTGTTAATGAATTATTCTTATTACCCCCTTCTTCTACCCTAACGTCTATCTTTGCAAATTTCAAAAATGAGTGGAGTGGAAAAGGTGCTTTGTTAGAGGAACAGATCAGCATATGTCCTTCCCTTTATCTACTCCATGTTCAACACTAGGCCCCCCCCCCCCTACCTGTGTTAATGACAAATCGAAAAAAAATCCTGAAAGTAATAAACGTTACAACATATGAATTTGATTTCTTCAAAAGCCCCCTGAGTTCGTATACACATGATAAATGACGCTGCTGATGGTTTTTCTCAGTCTATGGTTGACATGATGTGATGCGACAAGGTTGAACAATAACTTTCTACAAGAAAAACTCAGTACAAGGATGTGCCACGCGGTCGATGAGGAACTGTATTGAGTGAGGAGTGATTCAGACGATCAGTATGGGAGGAAATTACGGGATTATATGAGTGTGGAAAGGTACAAAGTAAATTCCTGCATGCCGTTCTGCTTTTTCATATCGGAAACGCAGACTGAAACCGTCGTAAGGGCACTTCCGTGTTTCCCGACCGATGACGGTCTAGTTTCGCCATAGAATACTCCAAGGCTGACTATTTGATCAAGTCCGCTGGGTAGGACTGATTTTGGCTCTTGCCCAGGATCTCAGCGGTCGTGATCACTGAGCAACTACTTTTACCCGCTAACGAAAGACTCAGGACCTCGTGTCCTGCCCAACGGTGCATTGCTGAAAATCGTCAACTGAACTGGTAGTCAAACGTTCCCAACTTCACCCGTGTTCCCACCACTAAATAATTTCTCTGACTGGACTTTGTATTCTTCTATTATCGTGAAGGCTAGCCGTTTTCCACTGGGTGATAATTTGCCCGACAAATTCTAAGTACAATGATTGAAACAGGAAAAATGTTAGCGTCACCGGTCAGGATTCCATCAACATGTGGATGTCACCCGTGCAGGCCTTGGGTTGGACTAGCCCCGTTGTACTCATAACCTTTTATATCTATGGGATTGAGTCAGCTCTATTCCGATCTGAGTAAAAAGTAGTCCCTCTGGGAATCACGGAAATGAAAAGATTCAGTCCACTCCTTCATGTCTGACAAGTGTTTACCCTGGCAGGGACTCCTGCTTCCATCTACCGAGCCTCAATCAAACCCTTATAATTTTCTTAGTTATATGGTCGAAAAATTGAGGTTTTGGTTGAGAATCGTTAGCTTCTTCCACATAAATGCACTGTTCATGTACAGTATCAAATCTGATGCAGAAGCTTTTCATATATCTGGCTGACACTGCCAGTGATAGCAAAAGGTGAGTGGAAAGTATAAGGGGAAACTTTGAACAACAGGCGCTCCGCGAGAGCCTGTTGTTCAAAGTTTCCCCTTATACTTTCCACTCACCTTTTGCCCCGGTTCGAGTGGCTGAGTTAGGGTAAGCGAGATAAGGATCAATTGCTCCCTTGGGACAGAATTATTCCTAGTTTTCTAGGAAATACGGAAGTAAGCCATTGTTCTGATGTTATTCAAAGTCTTCATTCCTACTGTTCCGACTTCATAATAACATCCATTCGTTCACGAACAAGGAAGTCAGAGAATCAGCAAAACAACTGAAATGCGACTCTCCACTTCCTTGTCCCAGTGCTTTTAAAAACCTACATGAAAGCCAGTTCACATTAAAAGTAGGATAAATCCTGATATTAGTTGAAGATCAGTTTGCCATGGTGCTCGAATACTCAAAAAAAGTTGCGGTGCACATCAACTTTTGTAAAGTGAAGGTTGTGAGCTAGGAAGAAAGATTTGGGTGGGTCCAAAAAGGTAATGGACCTTCCCATATCACAAATACAAGGTGAAGAGTTGAAAATACAGATCCAGGTTTAAGCCTCACCTGGGGCGATCAGGCTTCGGGACGCGCGATTATCGCGCTCACTCTTTCCAAAACCTAGGCAGAACCCAATGCTTCATGTTCCTCGAACAGAAATATCCGAAGGTTGAGGACAATCTATTAAAATAGTAGCCAGTACAGTTGATGTTCGAGCTGTCAACGTTAGAGAAACAGTGCTTAGTGCCTCTGTCAACTAGTCACATAATTAACGAGGTAAAGTCAGAGAGACGCCATCGATCTTTCTGGACCTCTCTAAAAAGGCCAACAACCCCATTAACCATACCCATAGGCTCCGGAGGCACATCAGGAATGATAAGCAGCACTTGCTTTTTCCTCCTTCCTCCCATCCACGGTTCCTTATGGGAACGACCCTGCACTTTGAATACACATTGTGCTCTTCGAAAATCTTTTTCCTGTTTTTCCTCGATTTCTTCTTATGACCTTTTCCTACTATTTCCTCTTCTTTTTTCCTTTTCATTAGCTTCGTACTCTTCAGATCTCCTTGCACCTATTTGAATGAACTTCCCCATTTCCACCACGTCAACTGTGGCACATAAACATTGACGATTTATTGGCCTCTTTTTCTCGTTTCAACGATGCATTGCGAAAGTTAACGACAGCGATTTATCATTCACAAGGGCACTTCCGGGTTCGTCACGCATTTTCTTCCGCGTTCGATCGATTCAATACATACAGATTCTCCTCTACGACATTCTTCCTTGTAGCTAGTATCCCTTTCTACTTTAAAATTCTCACTCTCACTCTCACTTGCGTGAGCCGATGTGATAGTGAGCCCTATTACCTATTTCAAGAGGGTACAGTATGGTTAGGATGGCAAGGCAAATGTATCAATGTAGTCGTAGCAGTCGCTAAGTTTCCTCTGATCAAGTATTACATCTTGAAATCTTACAAGGAATAGATCTTCGAACTTTTCAAATTCCTCTCTAAAAAATTTATCCTCATATTCATTATATATGTAGAGTGTTGTCTATGGTGCTCCACTCTCGTACTGCGGATGTGGCTCAGTGGCAAAAGGGCTTACTATCACATCGGCATGGGCCAGGAACCGAATCTCGGTTAGAGGCAGACCAAGCCTTCCATCTCTTCGGGTTCTGTCAATTATTACCAGACTCGTCTGGAAAGATTGAAGTACTGTTTCGAACATCGGCTAGACACCGCAAGTGATCGTATATACCTTACGGCATTCAGTATAAAACTACAGCTAGGGGAAGTCAAATGCGGGGCACTTCCCGAACGGGACTGATCAAAGCAGAAGATTCACTCATTTTTAATATCAGTAGTTAAATTATCGCCGTGGCCCTCCTTCCACGGTTCGAACAAACTATTCGTCTCAGAAGCTTATTATCATTTGCAATCCACTTTCCCAGATATGATGACTTACCGAGCTATCTTCCGCAAGCTATAATATATTATACCAGTCGGATCGCCCAGCTAACGCCGGGCTCTCCTCCTTCTTATGTAATCGGGAAAAGATTGGTACAAACAATCTGGGACTTCCTTTC